GAGAGAGAGAGAGAGAGAGAGAGAGAGCTTGTTCATTTGTCTTGCTGTTGGTGAAAAAAAAAATCTACCTTCAATAGGAGTCGAGATATTTGCTATGAAATGAGACGAGGGTCACCTAGTTTTAGAGGCAAAATTAACAAGAAAGTGGCCGTCAGAGTTTGGTGATTTCCCTAACCTTCCTTTAAAAACTGAAAATTTACTTTTTTTGTGTGCCTTTAATTAATGTTTTTTAGTAAAGGCCGTACGAAAATATGTTTTTAAATGGACGTAAAAGGTGTTGAGTTAAAAAAAACCTAAAAAACTTGATAAAAATCCTCCAAAACGGTGGAACAAATTCATTTCTTCAATTTCATTAATTTTGATGAGTGCCTGATTTCCCCGTGATGTCTGAAACATTGCCTGTTTGTGTTGCCCTCAAGGATCAAGGCCGGAGGCGTCAAGTCAGGATTCAACCACGTGGACAAGGGAGCCTTCCAGCCGCGTCTCATCCATGTCAAGGGCAAGAGGAACCCCCGGTTCTCTGAGGTCAGCTACAGTACGATGGGGAAAATGTCGTTTTAGTAGAGGTTTTACGGCGCTTGCAACTGCATAAGGTCATATGAGCGCCAAGGGGAGAATGTCAACAGAGAAGTCCTTACAGGGAATCAGACTTACTCTGCTCACCTCTCTAGCTTCAACAGCACAAAGTCTGCTTCGACTATCAAGGCACCCCAGAAATAGCGGGTCATAAGAGTGTGACAAACATACAAAAGAAGTAGAGGAAAAATGACGATAGTAAAGATTAGGAAAGAAAAAGCAGCAGTTCCCTGTTGCAGTTCAGGCACAGTTATGGGTATGACATTGATGAATCAGCCCATTTACAATTCTACTGTGCATAAGAACATGTTAAGTCTTTAACCATGCAATTTATAATCACGTTTCCGCAGAATTTTTCTCGTGTTTGTGGAAATGCGACCTGACATATTATGTTTTTAAAACCACTTGATTCGTGTTAAACTGATCAAAAGAGCTTTAACCAGATGTAGAATTCATTTATCTTTGACTTCCGGGTCAAACTAAAGGCTTGTTAGCTTGTACTTTTTTATATATTCGGTCCGTACCATAATACAATAATAACTTCTCTTCGGACGGTGGTACCGTCAAGCCATGGTTACGGACCTCAACTACCGGACGCTGCCACCGTCCACACATGGTTAAAGAGTTAATGTCCCCCCTTTGGGAATAGCCTCAAGACACTTCAGTCAGTAGCACTGCCCTGGGGGGGTAATGATGGGAACACTACTTGACTCTGGGAGACATATTTTGCGAATTTATAAAGTTTACAGAAAGCAAAATGGGCCAAACGTATTTTTTAAACGTGCCAAAAAGGAGCATGCAGCATTTCAATATTGAGCAAATAACTGATATTGGCTCCCAGTTTGTAATTTCTGTAGTACTTTCATAATTGTAAGGTGGGCTCATGAGAGGTTAGTGCAGGCAATGAATGTTTTGTGAGTGCAGGAGTTTTAGCTTTTGGTGTAGCAGTTACAGTGGTGATCTGGTTCTTCTAGACCAGTACGGGGATATGTTTGAAAGTGAATTTCTAAACTTTCACCTGTCAAAAGGTCATGCCTCGTACAACTTTATGTTTCAGCTTTTTCCGTGGGTGGTTTGGTTTACTGCTTGTTTCATATCAAAGTTCTAATGTCCTGATCTCTCCTTCTTTTTTTGTGTTTGTTACTCTCTTGTAACACTTCGAATCTTCCACACTTCTATGACCTAATTGTGTAGCAAATGTGCTGTGAACTCTTACTAAAACAGACAAAACAAAACAAATTTTTCTGTCTATGTGGGACTCATGATGCCTGCTCTGATTTTGAACTTGCTCTCTCAACCATGATTGAAGAGGCAGAGAAAAAGATTTTTTTCCAATCAATTGCTCATTTGTCGTGATGTGATTCCCCAGTGTTCAAACATCGACTGGGAGCAGATGAACAAAGGCGATTGCTTCATTCTCGACCTGGGACAAGTTATCTTCCCCTGGCTGGGCTCGGAGTGTAACCGAACAGAGAAGATGAAGGTTGGTTGTTGTTGGTTGTTGTTGTTTTTGTTGTTATCGATCCAGCAACAGCTGGGCTCTCGTCCTTCTGTCCAATGCCATGTAGTAATGAAGGTTGGTCGTCTCAGGTTCTCGCAACATTTCGATAATACAAACTGGACCAAAGCTAACGGCGCAAAAAAATATCAAATTTGAAAAGCACCGTTTGCGTAAAAATATAAACTACCACGGTACTGTTCTGTATATGCCGCGTGATTCGACCGCCTAAGTGCCAAGAGACAAATTTTTCAGGAGAAGCAAAAACTGTTTTATTTCTTCCTTCTCGTACCTAGGAATCTGAAATTCAGATATTATGATATGGTATGATGTAAGACGATGGTCTGTAACTAACTTTTATGAAAAAAGCTGTCTTACATAAGTTACTGGAAAGACATAGGCGGTTTAGACGTACCAAAATCTGCATGATTCAACCGCCTGAATGACAGTATGACGGCTTCTAGGCATTTGAATCACGTTAATCAACGCCTCTCGATGAGCGCCAGTGGTCACTTGGGCGTTTGAGTAATCGGCAAAAGCAAATCATAATAGTGATCTGAGTCGAAGTTACCAAAGGCAGCACTTTGTTTTGATGTTACCCTCCTGTCTGTTTGGATAAAGGCCACAGCCGTGTGGGTCGCGCCGCCTACGCGACACGTAAACTCCTCAACAAGCCGCTGAATCTGTAGGATTCAACCGCCCATTCGCCACCGGGCTGCAAAACTGGCACTTGGGCGGTTGAATCATGTGGAAATTAGGGACTGGTGTGATAAAGGCAATTGATTTACTGAAGGATTGAAACACTTTACAGTAATCTTTCAAACTCGGGATTTAAAAGTGAGGTGTATCAAAGGCTGTACTACAAAAAGAGACCAAAAAGCAATTTTCGAAAATTTTGTCACTTAGGCGGTTGAATCACGCGGCTAGTGATATGTGATTTATTCAATTTACTTTCAATTTTGAAAGCGTATGTCACTTTTCATTTTAGAAAAAAAATAATTGTTTGCATAGTTATACCATTTTTGTGTATTTATGAGAGTTTCAAAAATCGTTAACACACAGCCACAATCTGAACACATTGCTTTACTCATTGTAGCAATCAACGAACCGATTCATCAGACCCCTTTAAGAGAAAAACTGAACGTTTATTGTTTATAGAAGAATAATTGACTTTGAACATACTGAGTTGTTCTTGCTGATGATTTGTAGCTAATGTACTCATCGGCCTATGACTCTAGCCACTTTACAAAACAGGACCGGTATACGGGACTAGCCATTTAGCAAAACAGGACCGGTATACTGGACTAGCCACTTGGCAAAACAGGACCGGTATACTGGACTAGTCATTTAGCAAAACAGGACCTGTATACTGGACTAGCCATTTAGCAAAACAGGACCGGTATACTGGACTGGCAATTTAGCAAAACAGGACCGGTATACTGGACTAGCCATTTAGCAAAACAGGACCGGTATACTGGACTAGCCATTTAGCAGAACAGGACCGGTGCCATACTAGCCATTTAGCAAAACAGGACCGGTTTACTGGCTGGTGCCACTGACCACTCGGAGACAATAGATAAAATTTGTAACAGGTCATATATATTGTTTTAGGAGATTGTTTTTGTTTGCACACATTTTAGACTTTGTCACATTGTCATAAGCTGAGGGATGTTTTAGGATGTTGTTTTTGTTTCCACGTGTTTTAGACTCTGTCACATTGTCGTAAGCTGAGAGGTGGTTTTGTTTCCACGTGTTTTAGACTCTGTCACATTGTCGTAAGCTGAGAGGTGGTTTTGTTTCCACGTGTTTTAGACTCTGTCACATTGTCGTAAGCTGAGAGGTGGTTTTGTTTCCACGTGTTTTAGACTCTGTCACATTGTCGTAAGCTGAGAGATGAGAGAGGAGGCAAGTCCAACATCGTGTTTGTTGACGACGGGGAAGAGGATAAGCTGGACAATGAATCAAAACAGGTGAGTGGGTGAGTGAGTGAGTGAGTGAGTGAGTGAGTGAGTGAGTGAGTGAGTGAGTGAGTGAGTGAGTGAGTGAATGAGTGGTTGGAGAATGTCAGAACTGATCTTTGAGTTCTGTCCTGTGTGTCTTTGTATAAATACCCAGAGACACACTTTGGTTCATGAACACAGACACAGACACACACACACACACACACACACACACACAGACACACACACACACACACACG